GCCTGGTTGCGAGGGCGTGGCGGGAGCAGCGCCCGGGCGGGCGGCCACCGCAAGATGTCTGGACCCGGACGGACCCCCACCCTCAAAGGGCTCCGAGGTGTCCCCCAGCAGGGCTTGGGGCCTCCAGATCCAGAGGGAACCTGGACCTTCCGGCAAAGGGCGGGAGGGGAGTCTGAGCCCATGCCAGAATGGGATGACCCCCACACACACACCCCCAGTTTACCAGCGCGCGCGTGGGGCTATTGGGTGTGCTTTATTCATTTTCTTAATTGGAGAAAGGGGGCGCACCGACTTCCTTTGGCGCATTCTGATTCCCAGTAATGTGGACCTAGGTGCCCCTAGAAGGGCCCACCTGGAGTCCACCGCCCCACCCAAGGCCGCCCTCCCCCGCTGGGGTGACAAGTGGAAACAGCAGTTCCCCTTCCTCCCTCCCCTCCAGCCTTCTGGTTTGGAGGTAATGTTCCACCAGGTTTCCTTGCCGCCCGTAGTGGATGAGCGGCATGCAGATCCGGTACTCCTTGAGCAGCATGGTCCTGCCGGCCGTGGACCACCAGAGCAGGAAGCGGGGGGCGGCCCCCAGAACAACAAGGCTGCCTCCCAGGCGCAGGGCAGGGAGCCCGGAGCCCCGCACTCGGAGCCGGCGGGAGAAACAGCCCCGGCGGTGCACTCAGCTCCTGGCTTCCTCCTCTCCACCCGAGAGCATGTCAAGGTTTGGGTCCGGGTTTCGCGGCTCCCCCGCCCCCTTCCTCACCGAGGTCGGTTCTCCCGGAACGCGGTGTTGCAAAGTCAGGGAGGGAGGGAGCCCCGCTGGAAACCACTCGGATCCGCAGCTCAAGGCGATAGGAGCGGCCGTCAGATCAGGACATGCCCGGTGGCGGCGAGGGAGGGGGGGAAATGAGATTTCCAAAAATTAAAACGAATGCACAAAAGTCACCCGCTGGATACGCCTCTGAAACCAGTCGTGAACCTAGCGACCCCCTTCTCCGGCCGTGCCGCCCAATGCTAATTCACCAGAAACTCATTGCAGGAATTCATCTGGAGATGCTGACTTTCCAGACAAAGGCTCGATGGGCTCCTCTCTCCGGGCGGTAAACAAGATTTCCTGCTCTTTTGAGGGCCGGTCCCCGAGGCGCTCTGGAGCTCGCTGGGGTAGAAAAGGGAAGCCGCCGCCGCTGGGCTCAGCCGGGTTGAGGCCCCGGGTTCCTCCAACCTCGGGTCGCGCTGCGAGAGGCGGGCGA